TCGAATTGCCTACTCTTTAGAATTGTGTATGTCGGAGGTGGTTTGGTTCGACACTGGGGCTAATTTCTATCGATCATTCGCAGTTGATTCTTCTCTCCGACTTGAGTTGTATTTCTTCTTCTTCGTCGACTTAGGCTGGAAGTTCTCTTGTCTTCGACTTGGGTTGTATTTCTTCTTCTTCGTCGACTTAGGCTGGAAGTTCGACTTGGGCTGGAAGGATCTCTTGCCGCAACTCAGCCGCAACTCTCTGTCGTGGAGGTGATCTCTTTCGCTGCCGTCCGGGGCTGAACTCTTCTCGCTGCCGTCCGGGGCTGAACTCTTCTCGCTGCCGTCTTGGGCTGAACTTCTTGTCTTCGACTTGGGCCCGAAATTTCTTGTCTGAGGATTCTCTTGCCCGCAAAGGGGCGAGTGAATCGGGTTGATGGCCGCGTTCAGGCTCTATCCCTGCCCGCGGTCCAGCTGCAACTCACCCAACTCCAACTGATTTTGTCGACTGGGGTCCTGCTTTTATTGACGCCGCAACAAACTGGGGTGTGTCTGTTGGCGTCAGGGTTTTCTCGATAATTCCAAAAGTCGCATTATTTTTTGACTTCCCATTATCGCTATTGTTTTCACCCCTACTTCCCTCACAGTGCCTTTTTTGGGGAGGGCACACCCATCTCTCTTAGTCTCTCGTATGTCAGGTGACCGTTTTTCGACCAATGGTTCCTGATTGGGCATTTCTTTCTTTTCTTTTCCGCAGCCACGTGACCGTTTTCGGCTAATGGGATTCTGGTTGAGCATTTCTTTCTTTTCTTTTCTGCAGCCACGTGACCGTTTTCGGCTAATGAGATCCTGATTGGGCGTTTCCTGCAATCAATCGGGGCGGGCTTATATCGTTCTTGTTAAAAAAACAAAATCTAATTTTTCCTTTTTTTTTTTCGCACGTACGAAAATGACCATCTTGGCCTTCTCTCACCTGGACTTTGTCAAACAGCCCGCCGCTAATTAGACTTGACTTCAGAAAGGATCTTTCCGCCTTCTTGGCGCCCTCTGTGAGCCAAAAGCAATTGTCCTCTTTTTACCTCTTTGTTTTTTCCTGATAGTCAAAAATCTTAATTATCTACATTGAAAATGTCTCCACTTTATTATTGTGGGGTTCTAATTTTTAACAGGTAACAGGTCTGTATACCGTTCCACCGGTCACTCCCCTCAACCCAAAAGACACTTTTTCTCTGATTAAGATTGTTTCATTGTTCCCAAAATTTCTCTTTATCCAAATTGATAAGGTGTCTTTCCATGCAAAAGTAGGCTAGGTGCTTTGACCGATATCTGGCTTCCATCAAGCGGCCCGTTTTGATATCATGTCTTTTTTTCCCTTTCTTTCTTCTTATTATTTCTAATTCTATTCTTCCAATTTGTCTTAAAAAAATTCGGTCAACATGCTAGCTAAGATATCTTTCTGACTCGTGTTTTTGTTAATGACCGTTTTTTTTTTTTTTATTTCTCGACCTCTCTCTTCCCCCTTCTTCTTCTTCCCCTTAGGATCGTCCAAGTACAATCTTAGTGAATTATTTTCAACTCAATTATTTTCCGTTTTAAAAAAAATCAACAAAAACCGAATAAGAAAAAAATTAAATCATATTTCTATGAATATTTCTAATAATGCAAGGTGCCACACAAAATTATATACCATATCTTTCTCATTTTAATTTCATCGTAGTTCACGTGGTAAAAATCATAGTATATATTTTTGAATAACTGGTTTAAGAAAAAATTAATAATTCTTTATCAATGTTTTCGTTAATGTTAACTAAAATTCATACTGTTAGTTTATAATACTTCATCAGGGAGTTTTCATTCACACACACACAAAAATTTCTAAACTCAAACGTAAAAAAATAAATATAAGTAACCAATATCATATAAACTATAATATAAATGTAAACAGAACAAAAACAGACAATTGCTGCATCAGTTTTTTTTTTTTGGGGGGGTATCCTTTACTGTAAATAGTATATTAATATATTTTTAATAACATTATAGGTTAGATACGATGAGGTTTATATTACAATATTACAATAACCAACAATATATTGTGTGTGTTTAGTAATATTACATATATGAAATTAAATAAAAAGTCAAAAGTGCATTAGCTTATCTCACCTGTTCTCGCGGAACCCTTGGGGACTTTTTGCGGAACTTTCGGATTATCTGGGAACCCCAGTTGAGAAATGCTGTTCTAAGACAACATAACCCATTTTCCGACAGTAATTGACAAAGAGTTGAATAAAATGTAATGTTACTTACGAAAGATTCAGTCTTCCACTTTCATTATTCAGTACAGTGACAATATTTTCAAACACCTTTCAAGTTTTGCAGATGACTGTAAACTTTGACTCAAATTTGGACATCCAATCAGTGGTTAATTGAAGCGACGAATGGCTTATTTAGCTTTAACACCTCCAAACACAGCTGTTTTCATTTAATCATCAGAGAGAAACGTTTTGCCTGCCATCAGCATGGCTGACGCTAAACTCTAGGAGAGAAATATTCTATGCCTTCTTGGGCTCACGTTTTCTACTGACATGAAATGAAGTAACTATATTGAATCTATTGTTACATCTACTGCTAAGAAAGTTGGTTCATTGCTTCGTGCTAGACAATCTTTCTCATCAGAATCCATCTTGAACCTTTATATACTATTTGACTGTGCATTGAATACTGCTTCCATATCTGATTTCATGCTTCTGCTGTATATTTCGAAATTCTTGACAAAATTTAAAGACGGGTCTGTCATGTAATTAGTCCTGACCTGGCATCTTGACTTCAGTTACTTTCCCATTGATGTAACATGGCTTCGCACTGTTTTTTCTATCAATATTTTCATAGCAATTGTCCTGATAAGCTTTTCTCCTTAGTGCTTCGACAACATGAATTTAAGCGTGCTACTCGATTGGCAATTAGGTCTCACAATGTTACTGTTGAACTAACTAGATGCAACCATCAGTTCTGTTCTAATAGTTTCTTTTCTCGCCCGTCTTACCTGTTGAACTGTCTGTCGGTTTCTTGCTACCCTGCCACCTACAATCTTCAAAATGCAACGCCAATCGCCATCTTTTGTCTCCCTGAACCCTATTCCTTTATTGTCATGTTCCTCACCTCTCCTCATTAATGTCTTATCATTATCTTCCACAGCCTGTAACTCTGTCGGAGTTAACTCCTCCTTAATTATCTAATTGTCACTAGGGGACGCTCTCCCTACACTATAAATACTGGGCGACTTCTTGTCTCGTTGTCTTTTTCACTTTGCATTTCAGCGGACACATTTAAAAATGTGATCTCTCACAGAGATCCTCGTTTTCGCCCACTTGTGGGAAAATGCCATGAAACACACATACACGTACGTACGAACATTCACCAAAATACAAACTCTTTACGTTCACACACAAGCACAAATGTTAATGTCTTTGTCAATTGTAAATTTGTTGTTTAATATATATATTTGTTGATTGATATATATATATATATATATATATATATATATATATATATATATATATAAATATTCTTGTTTGGTTTACATCTTTGTTTGGACTCAACTTGAGTCCGCCATATTCTTGAATATTGGACCTTGAACAGGAATAAACATTAACGTTTTTCTTAATTCAACAACACACGTAAACACACGGTCCTCTACAACTCCCCCTGCCTTAATTGGAGTGAAGCAATTAAAAAAATGTTCAACTGTAAGAACAACTATTGCTTTTGAGTTGAGTCAAAAGTAGATTATTGTTAAATTCAAAAAGTCGACAGACATTTTCTTGGCTCATCTCTTAAGCTGAAATAGCTTTTTTTCTAAAGTATCTTAAGGATTTTCTTTCATGTAAATTAATCCCATGAACAGTACAAAGCGGATATCCATCCGTTTTACACCTTAGCCAAAATGTAGGCATAGGTCTGATACATAGCCGTGTCAAAAAGTAGACAATGACCCAAATCAATGCAAAAGGTAGGCATTGATCTGGGTCATGTCCATTTTAAAAGGAAGACATTAATTTGGTCCACATCCGAGTCACAACGTAAGCATTCGTCTGTGCCCTACCCAAGGCAAAAAAAAAAACATTGGTCTGGGTCGTTTACAGAGAAAGGCAAAAGATAAAATATTGGGAATGGGGCCATGCCAGGGTAAAAATTGTATATATATATAAATTGGTCTGTGCCATGTCCAAGGCAAAGAGTAGACATATATCCTTGCCATACCTAAGTCAAAAAGTAGACATTGGCCAATTCAACTCCATGTTAAGAGACATCAGTCTCATTCATACTCTTGCCAAAATGAAAATACTGACCAGGATTTTACCGGAGTCTGCAAGCATGCATCCACAAGCATCCATTTTCCAGAGTTTTGTTGATTAGGAGCCCTACACTTTTTCAGTAGCCTGGGAAACATATCCTGTTAGGCCATAAGAAGACATTTTTAGAGGGTCATTGTTACATTGATGAACAAAATCTAAAAGCACTAATGAAACGAAAATCATTTAAAACTGTTTGAACATCACATAATGTTTTCATTTAGGCATTTTCATTCCGAGAAGATATTCAGTTTAACAAAAAAAACATTCACTTTTTGTGCCTTTGATATAGACTGGTCGTACCGCTGAAAGAAATGACAACCTACTGCGGAAAAAATATGTTTTCAAAGAATGTAATCGAAAGATACATGATCGCCACAACGTGATCGATCATGGCACATAACTGACTGAACGGTGGTTTTACAGTTAAAAACAAGAAGTAAAAAAGTGATAAAACAATAAATAGAGATAAGACGTGGTTGAAATATTTGAAAAAGATTTTTATTTACCGTGATCTGCAAGGTTCGATCGTTTGTTCATCCCGGGGTATCGTTTATCAGTTGTGGAAGACTGAGAGTTTCCTTATCGTATAACACAAGGGAGCCGTCAAGATAGACTTTTTAGGAGAAAATATTCCACAAATTATCATTTTGTATTAGTCAATAGTTGTTCTCATCATACTGCTGCAGCCCCAGAGCCTCTTTTTGGGATCACTTTTAAAGAAATCTATTCTTTCAATTATACTGCCATGAATGAACAGGCATATTGGCATTCAGGGACTGTCAGATGCAACACGCATTACGGAGAAGGTTAAAAACAGATTGTTAATTCATCACAGAACTTGAGTCAAAGATGAGAGGATTAGTGTGAATCATTCATGGAATCAGAAATTAGAAAACCCAAAGTTAAAAAGATGACATTGCCTAATTCTAAAAATAGAGTCAGTCAGTCATTAATTTTCGGATTTCGTTAAAAGCTCTCGTCTCTTATGTCTGAAAGCCAGACGCGAATCTGTCAAAATTAAAAGCATCAACTTTTTATATCAAACACTGACTCAGTGTTAGTGTCGGCTTCAAAACATTCACTCAGTTTAATCTTAGATTGAATAAAAACAACCTTTTAACTTGGACTTCATTACAAATTCAATACAGAGCCAGAATTTTTTTTTAAAATATATATATTTTAAAAATCATTTACATTTTCATTTCAAACTGTTGACTTGAATTTCATTCTCATTTAGAAATTCTCTTCTTTTTGAGTTAAAAAAACAAATCAATTTTTCTTACTACTTTGAAGTGATGTTTGTATCCTTCCTATACCTCTGAGTGCCTGTTCTGTTATCCATTTACACGTATTCTGTGCGTAGGTTAATCAGTGTTTCTTTCCGCTCGTCTTGCATTCATCTTAGTTTTTGAAAAGCAAGAGGAAATTGTCCAGCATTTCCTGCCATATAGGAGGACCAATATGACATAGCTGTTCAGCACTCTTTTACTTTGCTTCTAATGTCATTTTCCCATGAGATTCTAATACTTTGCTTAGTAGAAAATGAAATTGAAAAAAATAGCATTCCATAATCAATATCTAACTGCTTATGCAATCCAGCACTTTAACTAAATAACTATATTAAAATGTTCAGGTCATCTAGGGTTGGTTGGTTGGTTTATTTGTTTTACGGCACACTCAAACTCAATTGCTTCTGTTCAGGATAATTTTTTTTGCTTAACTTATTTTATAAATTTATTTATATTTTTTTTTTTTCTAAAATTCAATATGAAGTTATAAAGCATTCCCTGCCAAATTTGAGGATTTTAGTTATATGACATAGCAGTTTTTTTTTAAACAAATTTTTCCGTTAAAGATTTTTCCAAACATAATTTTATCAATTTTTCATTATGTTTTCTTTTTTAAATTAGTATTTTTAAATAGAAGATTAATTTATTTTGCTCAATTTTAGTTTTGTTATTCTTCAATGCATCAATCAAAGGAAATTATTCATATGTATTTTACAAAAGTTTAGATTTGTAAATAGTTTAAATCATTTTTTCTTTGTTTCAATGACAACAGGGTATCCTCTATACATTTGCGCTTAAATTTCTACCCATTATTTTTTTCATCTAATAAAATACGTAAAAGCGGCATGGGTAGTTTTGAAAATCCCAGTTTTCTTTTTCCTTACGTTTGATAAATTCGTTTTAATTTTTGTCTGAATTGCTGGAATTACATTATTTATGCTTTAACAATTGTCCGTCACTTTTTGTTGTAAATATCTAAATGATTTTCTTCATTATTGTAAGGTCTTCATCAGGTGCTTGTCGATTTGGGTAACCTTGAAGGGTTCAGTTCGAAATTCGATGAAAGTTACACATCGACATCCACTTGATGTTAGGCTGGAGACTATAATAGCCAAAATGTTGTGATAATAATCGAAGAAGATTTTTGTTTATTTCGACGAAAAAAATAGTAAATAATTCGCATTTACGATACGTCATGGTGAGATTTATTTAAATTAATATTTTATGACACAATGGCTGAAAATGTGGGGATAGGTTGAGGAATGGAATACTATCTTATACCTAAGAAATCAGATTCACGATTCAGGTTTCATTGACGATAAAAACTCACCCAGTTTTTCGTCGAATCAATCCTGCATTACACCATAATACCACATCTTCTCAGGTTGGGAGTTAAAAAATTAAAATTACAAAAAAACATCCAATGAGGTGATAAATATTATTTACAATTTTATATACAAACGGATTTGATCATAAAATGGGACCTTAAAGGTGAACCCCAAAACAAACTAAATATCAAAGGAAAAAAAATAAACATAACTGATGTTATTAGGACTCGTCCAACCTTGATCAAAAGCCTTGCTGTCATGTTATTTTTGTAAAACATCTCAGCGCTGTGGGGGTTTAAACGTCACAACACGAGAAGTCATTCGTATACGTGATGTTTTAATGTGATGTGATCGATTTCTGGAACAAAAGGTTTTTTTTTATTTTAAAGATGGCGCTGATGCAGGAATCGGTATATTGAACGCAAACTCTTGGGCACCTCGGGTGATGTAATTTTTAGCAATCATTTGTCTCGCTAGCAAGTTAAAACTGAAAAAGTGAGTTCGATCCTCACTAGATGCCCCAAAAATACTATTCGGCCTTTGAGAAAATTGAAAGAACGGGAAAAAATAAAACAGAAGATAACAATTGACGGCTCAATTGTTTTGTTCAAAGGCCTTGAACTTGTCTCCGTGTTTTCATTGGGTGAAGAAACGGATCCCTAGACTCGTACTTTCACGAGCTGTAAACACATGCAACATCAACATGATTTTTAATAACTGTTGCTAAATAAGGAAAAGAAATATATGCAAACAAAACTATATTGAAACAGTCGTATTTATGTTTTTATTTTTTTATATCAACAGATTTGGAAGTCACATGCATTGGATCTGTTTTTTTTTTTAATCATTTGTAGTTGGTGGGGACGGTACAGTAAACAAAGTTGTGAACAGCCTAATGGATGAGTTCAACTCAAAAGAAAAAATGCTGACTGGGCATCAAATTACAAAAATAAAAAGATCATCACTCATGAAAGAAGATACCAACGATTGAGTCTCTTAATTTAAATTTCTGAAAATCTCTTCCTGATTGGGATCCAATCTTTCTCTTAACAACTATAGAGAATTCAGAGAGAAGACACATGTTATATAGAATTTGCATTATGAGCAAATCAATCTCTCTGTAATCTTTTCTCGAACTTTTCGCTTGTGGAACTACCTACTTTCCAGACAACTTGTTATAGTGGAACACACCTATTCTATAGTTAATAGACTCTCCCACCTATAATAAGTAGGAGTAGTAAGAGTAACGAGGAGTCGCTCAGTGGTTCGCTCAGTCAGTCGATGCCGGACGACCGTTAGTCGGATACTAAAGTATCAGCGACCACAACTAGATTACTCTGCGTTATACCTATTATATCAAGTTCCTAACGTTTTGTACGTCGAACCTATTTTAGGAGCGACTTAGTGCAAATACAAGCCTCCACTGTGAAAACACTCCATAACACGACTTTAATCTACAAAAATTTAAATGCAATGTCAATCGCTATCTGCTGTTCTCTCGATTATTCTTTTCTCTTCCTGTTTATTGTCAATATTTCTGTTCGTAATTCTTCCACGCCCGTTGTGTCTTAGTGGCTTTATTGCTTTACATGCCACTAGTACACAGAGAGTGAAAGTGAAGACTGAGAATAGAGACAATTGAGGAAAAGACAAAATATGAACGGGATTCAAGAAGACAGAAGATAGCGATTGACGTGCATTTGAATTTTAGAAGGTCGTAAGGAAGAAACGGAAGAGAGTTCCACAGGTGGGAAGTACGAGAAAAGAAACTGTTAGAGTAGGAATAGCAGTTGCATTTAGCTAATTCAACAGTAAAAGGGTGGGACCTAGATGTCAATCTAGTAGCATGCTTAAATTCATTTATTCGAGGCAACAGGGAAAAAAAGCTTGTCAGAGCAGTTGCCATGAAAATATTTGTAGAAAAGACAGAGGGAAGCCACGTTACGTCGGTGAGAAAGTGACTGGAGTCGAGATGCCAAGTATGGATCGATTACATTACAGATCCTTCTTTGGAATAGCAGGCGCACCAGACCAGATATGGCAACAGTATTCAATGGTAGATTTGTAAAAGTGCAAGATAGATTCTGATGAGAAAAATTGTCTGGCACAACACAGTGACCCAACTTTCCTTGCAAAAGATGGAGCTATTGATTCAATATAGTTACCCCACTTCATGTCAGTGAAAAACGTATGGCCAACACTGATTTCCTGGAGTCTAGCATCATCCATGATGATGGCAGGCAGAAAAAGTTGGATGAACGAATAAGCGTTCTTTATTACAGCGATGATTTTTTTTACATGTTCTTTTGGCGAGGAGGAAACGGAAAAGTTTTCAGTTTAACCCATTTCCTGAAATCTGAGCAAATATCAAGGCTTGACGGTGGAGTAACAGATAGCGGCTCTGATTGAGGAATCGGAGAGCCGAGTTTGAATTCCAGTCGAATCCATTACATTCACTTTTTGTGCTAATACCAGTGGGAAAGGTATGAATCCTCTTCTTCTCCCCCCAACTATGGGTAAATAGCACGAGAGACCGGGTTCTATAGGTTTGGATGGCAACTAGTTTACCGCAGAAAGAAATGACAACATACCGCGGGAAAAATCTGCCTTTTCAGTCATGTATCGAAAGATACATGATCGCCTAAGCGTCTATCACGCATGGCACATAACTGACTGAACGGTGGTTTTACAGTTAAAAAACAAGAAGTAAAAGTGATAAAACAATAAATAGAGATAAGACGTGGTTGAAATAAGTGAAAAGATTTTTATTTACCGTGATCTGCAAGGTTCGATCGTTTGTTCATCCCGGGGTATCGTTTATCAGTTGTGGAAGACTGAGAGTTTACTTGGCGTATAACACAAGGTAGCCGTCAAGATAGACTCCTAGGAGAAAATATTCCACAAATTATCATTTTGTATTAGTCAATAGTTAGTTTCTGGTAGTGCCGCTGGTTTCGTCGCTAGCCGAAAGAACTGCTGTTGATGGAAGCGACTTGATGTTGCTACTTCATAGTCTGGTTAAGCTCACCTGTCGTTGGGGGTCTGTCGCTGCTGTCAATGCTAATTTATACAAGACACATTCACAAAACACAATGAAAAGGCGTGGACATGTTAGTATAACGTTCGATGACATCAGAATATTACGGCTTTTCTGATTGGCTGTTCAAAATAAGACAACCAATAGCAAAACACGACGCAAGTGTTTACCCTCCGTTCAACCGGTGACTGTGTATTAAATCATTTCTCTCTACCACTGTTCAACCAGTGGTTGGGCATTACGTCATTTTTCTCTAAAGCGATGGTTAGGGCTTAAAGGTTTAAAGAATTGGAGTTCCGACAATGTGTGACAGTCATTTTGGTCAAGTCGAAAGCTTTTTTTTTCAGCACACCCTCATAATGTTCCACATGATTAGCTCTTTGAGTTTCTAGCGTTCAAAAAAAAAACAAAAAAACAAAAAAACTCTATTCTTTTGTTTATTTTGCAGGAACCACCAACCAAATTGCTCATTCTGTTCTTGGGACCTGTGATGTAGTAACAGCTGCACTTCACATCGTTTTAGGTAAGTTCAACTTTGATTACGATCTGTGGAATCAAGCAAAACTTTGAAGATATGTATCACTATCATGAGTCCCATAACCCAATAGGGTTGAAGGGGCGCAACACGTACTACAGCCATAATAGTATCAGCAGTGTTTCTTGGGCAAGATAGCCTAACGGAACACAGCGCTATTTAGGCTGGCTTAAATTCAGAGTTTTTCCTTCTCCTAGACTGATTGGCACCCATGTCTACAGGATCCTGCCTGTTCTGCTATTTATTCATAGTTAATGGGAGAAGACATGGATTCATACATTTCCTAAATGAATATAACGAACCTGACTGGAATTCAAACTCAGCTCACCGATTCCTCAATCCGAGTCGCTATCCATTTCTCCAGTGACTCCTCCTAACAGGTATACCAATATTCTTGTCATGCTTTCGATTTATTGGTCCAGAGATTTGTTTCGTTTCTTTGGTTAATGGTATATCAAGTTCTTATGGATTATTTAATGCCGAAATTTTATTCTTGTGAGCTTTGGTAATTTTTTTCCAATAATATTTTGCTGGTAAGTTTTTTATGATGTATTTTTATATTTCCATGTTGTGACCCCAGCTTGGGGGTTCACTATTTGCCCATAACTGGGACCCTAACAGGTGCTACCACCCTGGGAACAACAGCAATTAAGAGATGGTTCTATGCTCCTCAGAACCTCTCAATCAGAGGCTTTGCTGCCAGATGTAGTTTATCGTCATACCCAGGACGATAGTCAAGAGGTAGCCTGACATGATCATGTTAGAATACCGCTCGACTCGCTTGAAGAAGGGTATAAAAGAGAGTCACGATTTACTTTCTCTATTTTTTCTTCTCTGCCTTTAAAAGAGTTTTCCGGCAATGTTTAACCTTTGTACCCACAAATAAAACGGTGTGAAAAAAGGATGGTTATTCCATTGGCACAACTTTTGCTGCTATACCGTTGGTGCCCTTGACAGTGTTTATTGTTTCAAAAAGCGATGATTAATTTTTTTTTTTTAAATAAAACACAAACATATGAAAGTGCATTTATACATTTTCTTCATTCTTGAGAATTGACAACAAAGATGTTAAAGACTATTTTTTTTTATGCACCGTGTCGCCTCAGGACATAGGCGATCATGACTGTCCACAAATTTCTGTCCTCTTAATAAATTTTGTCTCCTTGCTATTTCTGTTCCACCATCCATTTACTGAAGCTCATAAAATATGTCAGCGTTATTTTCCTCTATCCCTGTTGCCATCAATCTGTTCTATGAGTATCGGTGTCAAAGAAAGCCCTCTTTCCTCGTTATGTGTCCTAGAAATTTCAACCGTTTCTTCCTCATGTTAAGTATAATAAGTTTTATTTTCATTATTCTCTAAAACCTCTGTCGTTGTTCAGTTCATATATTGCTTATTTACTAGATTATAAAAAATATAAGAACCAAATTTAATGAAATATTTATTATTTACCATTTTATAAAGAAATAAATATGAAAACAATTTTCTTTTATTCATAAACTTATAAAATGTCTGTGAAAAAGAAAAGTTAAGTAAACACATAATGCTGAGTAACTGTTGTTATAAATTAGGATCCTTCACAGATTCGCTAAGAAATGAGTATACCATGATGAAAAAATGTCCCAAACTTAATAAAAACAGAGTTTTATTGTCAAAATCTTTATCATTAAGAGAAAAGACAAAAGGATTTTTTATGTGTGACTTCATTTGACTGAAGTGATATTTACGTTGATGTAACTACTTATGCACATGAAGAAGAGGGGGTCGCTGAAATCTTAATCTTAAATATAAGAATTAATGAATTCATTTTTAATTTGGCATTTTTATTACTTCAAACGTTATTTTTAGTGTGATATCTGTATTTGAAAAGACGCACCTTTTTTTTTAGAACAGGGTGACGCAGGTTCGAACTCTGCCGGAGAGTTTCTTTATTAAACTTTTTCGTGTGAAAAGGGCTGGTAGATTTAATAAACACTTGAAAAAACAGGGCGTCTACTGAAATATGAGTATCTACTAAAAATGATGTTACAAAGTAATACATTTGCAAAAGATTCGCTGAAAATGGCATATACTATGATAAAAGAAACCCCAAAAATTTAATAAAAACAGAGCTTTATCGTAAAAATCTTTATTATTAAGAGAAAAGTCAGAAAATCCATTTTTTATTATTAATTAAATTTTTATTTTTTAATGATTTTTAGAACATCCAGCAATTTTTTATAAAAATTCTATCGTTTTTTTTTTTTTCGATTATTATTATAAGAATTTCAAAAAGCGAATAAAAATTGTTTTTTTTTTTTTTTGATACTAAAAAAAGGAATGAAATTATTGATTTTATAAATCGTTTTAAAAAAATTTAATAAAAAAAAATTCTTAATAATTTAATGAAATTTGAGAAAAATTTTATATTTATTTTTTATACGCAGGACTTGGAGAATTTAAAGGAATTGAATTTATTTATTTAATTTTTAAAATTTTATTTTGAAAATCTTGAGTTGTAAAATACTTTAAAAAAAAAACATTGAAATTATTTAATTATGTCTGTTAATCCCATTATAACTTAACAATTTTTTCGAAGAATTTTTAAAGAATTTTTTTTTTGAAAAATTTTAATATTAATAATTAATTTTTATTTTAAAAAGAATTTTTTTCTTAATTAAACGAGTTTTTATACGCAACATTAAAAAAATAAGAAGGATAACTATTTAAATTTCAAAAATACCTAAAATATTTGAAAAAAATTTTTACGGAGAATATTTTTAAAAAAAAAAAAATATTATTGGTTAGTTAAAAAAAAAAAAAAAACGTATATAAAAATGGCACTCATGTTATATCTCTCAAGTCCTGTAGTGAACAAAACAAGATCTAGATTTAAAATTCAAATGTTAAGCACTGACACATTGACTTTGTTAGAAATTAAAAAGACTCGAATTTACAAACTTTACACACACGCAAAAGCGAATCCAAAACAAAACTCATAAAATTTCACACCTTGATGCGAAATGTTTTTCGGTCAATAGAAAACTAGGAAACATTAAAAAAAAAAAAAAATTCAAATAACCTCCAATTCTCAGAAACAAATTCTTTTACGGACCTTTTCGCGATACTACGCGAAGTTTGTTTATCGTCCAATGGAAAGGCCCGAATCATATCCAGAAGTGAATTCCCAAATGACATTTTCAAGCCCCACAAGCAAAAATAAAAGACCGGCGTATTAACACGTTCCTTGACAAACGTCAAGCGATCTTTATTATTATCTGTTCCTTTCTCCCTCACCTCTTTTATACTTGATAAACGAACGGAACATTTTAAGAATGAGCGATTACTTCAAATACATTCCTACCCTTCGATAACACTCATACATACATACATACATACATACATACATACGTTCCTGCCTACGTACACATAAACTCATTCTTGCAAGGACTACTACGAACATTTTGACGACCTTATATCAACCAAAATACATTAATTTATTTGTAAAGACCTTAATTGATTTATATGTTTATAAATTTGTTTCACTTACAATTTGATTTTCTTATTTTATACCCATCTTATGACGGGCTATCTAACTAACAAGGCCAAATCAAACTAATCTGTCTCCACACTCATAAACTTCACAATAACCGATAACCCACTATAGGCCCATAGAAAAAATTAGATAAACTTCAGCCTGTCAGTCAAGCTGTTAATTTTTTTTTAAATAAACAACTACCCCCGTGTTTATTTAAAAAAAAAAAAACTAATGGACGCTATATTATTTTATTTATTTATTTAAGTTATATATTAGATTAATATAAATAAAATTTGTCACTTAGCACCTGGATTCTAAAGTTTCGAAGACAAACTTTTTTGTAATCGTTACGTCCACTCGTCAGAAGGTTTCTACAACTGATTGGGAAATAAAAATTTTCATTTTTTTTTTTTTTTTACTTAGTTAAAAATTAATTTATATACTAGTTATTGGTATCAGGTTGATTTTTTTTCTTTTGTGTGCGTGTATGTGTCGAATGTCGTGGTTATTTCTTACTTTCATCATTTTATTACTTTATTTTAATTTAGTGAATACCCGTGTTTGAAATAGATGCCCGTTTTTTATGTTTTTTTTTCTAAAACAGTATTTAAAATTACTGGGTTGGAAACGTGAATTATGATTTTTTGCTGTGCCTTAAAAACCCAGTAATTTTAAAAGTTACTCCAAAATTCGCTTGAGGATGAAATGGAACTATTGTCTTTGATTTAATTACAAAATTAAATTCAAAGCTTTTAGCTTCCATTTTTGAAACATGGTTAGAACTGTGTAGCGAAAAAAAACATATTTTAAATCAATTAATTTATAATATTAATGCTATGTAAATTTATATTGAGCACTATTTTGTAAAAATAAAAATATCTATAAGAACACCGGATTATATATCTTACTGTTCTTTCTTTAATCAACAAGAAAAAAGTTTAAGCAAATAAAAAAGATTACTAAATGTAAAAGGAATTTATTCTTTCAATGCACTTTCTATGAATTTTTTCCAATCGACTATTTCATAGAAAATACCCAAAACTCCAACAAACATCAAATTAAATTCTTCATAGATTGTTTAGACATTTAGATTTATATCAAACTTTAACCCCCAAATATACCCTTTAAAGTAATGCGAAATAACAGCGTCCAAGAAATTGAGTGAAACCTTCTCTCATGATTTATTTTATTGTATCTTTTTCCTTTTATGTCGGTTTTCTTTTTCACCCCTTTACCCATCTATATCAAGAGATAACATACGCTAAGTTAAGCGATGCCTGGCCCACACCAAGTGAGCTTAAGGATAAAGAATTGAAATGGTACATCTAACTCACTCATGTCATCTCTCCCCCCTCACTTCGTTAATTTACATATGCTTAATACGTCCCGTCAAAAATGTGTAAATTTCTTTTCATTTTTCATTTCAACCTTTGGAAGTCAAGTCTGATGATCCAGAGCCCTTTAAAAGGG